AGGACATTCATAAGTATTAAAAAATTTGGAGCTTCACAATAGTTTTAGGAAATATAGTATTCAGAACTGTGGAAATCCTGAAATATATTATTATGGAGCTCCATCAATATTAAGGATATCCTGAAATATGTAATCAAAGGACCTGATCATGAAATAAATCAATTTTGACTGATTATTTATGGAGGTTCTGAAAATTTTCAGGACGTCTTGAATGAGTTATGGCTAGTATATTAAACCATTGCCGTGACGTCAGTCTATTCATTTACCGGGGTTTCTTTTTCTAGAATCAATGCTTTCTAAATCGGTCGCTGAAATGGAATCACCAAATTATATTCAATTGTTTCCTTTGTGTGCCCAATTTCATTAAGTATAAATTGGCTATTTCACGTATTTGAAAAGAAAATGATTACATTTACTTTGTTCATTTTTTGTTTTATAAATATAGTATGATTTCATCTGTTTTACTACATATCTTTACAAATGTTTATTCGCAAATCCCTATGTGAGTAAATCGTGATGTACCTAGGTTTCTTGCTAGAAATTTCGGTAACATACTTTTTTTATATATACTTAGAAATAAGTTTGAATATGTCTTATTTTGAGGCCCCTCATGGGAGTCTCCATATAATCACATAATCACAATTTTTTTGCCAATATAATCACATAATCATTAATCATTTTTTTAATCAAGATAATCAAAAATATGGTTCTAGATTATCAAATGATCAAATAATCATGAAATATTTGGTCTGGTAATCAAATAATCACTATAAAAATGGCCAAGTAATCACATAATCATAAACCCCATGAGGAGGCTCTATTTTGTAACTGATTAGAGATAATATTCAGATGCATAATAATTTAAAGACAGACGTGTTATGTTATATTTGTATTTCTCTAACCAATCAATTGTGAACTTTGATTTTTTAATGCATTGTTAAACTCAGTTACAATACCTTAAGTTCTAATCAAGAAAAGACTTTAATTTTGAAAAGACATCAACACAATAGTTTAAGTTAGAGACACAATAGATAAGCGTTGATTCATGAAAAACAAACCATTCACCCTCCGGGCTCATGAATCAACGCTCTGGGCTCATAGTTTCTTTTTCAAGAATCAACACTTATCCATTGTATCTATATACCTAGTCCCAGGTTATGGATGTCCAGAATTTGAATTTTGAAGGTCCTGAATTATTTCATTTCAGGACCTCCTAAAATACAATAATGTTGACTAAATCTGCACCTCATTTGTTCAGGAGAACCACAAGCATTTTTAAATGGAAAATATCGTCAAATTTAATATTTTTAGTAAATATTATATCAGTTGAATTTATCAACCATACTTTTCATAAGGATGTCCGGTCTGTGTTTTTGTTTTGATGTATTTCTCTTTGTATCGATCTGATCTGTTGAGCCCTTTTCAACTGATTTTTATAGTTTGTTCTAATGTTGTACTGTTACATCACTGTCCCAGGTTAAGGGGAGATATATGTGCTAGTCCACTAATTAAAACTCTATTTAAAACAGTCCCACGTAGTTGGTTCTGAAATTAGTTGCACGAGAAGGATTATTTTTAAAGGGCTGGTTATATGTAAATATCAAAATTATATTTTGCAGTGACAAAGTAAAGAAAAAAATGGTGAAATTTTGTTCCAGTCTTCAATAATAGTGTTTTTAGCAAACATACATGGCATATTATGGATGCCAATAGATTATTTGGTCCAAATGGCATTGGATTTCTGTGGTTGTCAGGTTTGATCTTGTACATCAGCATGAGTTGATAGTTCCCTTTAAATGCATCACATAACGTGGAGTTATAGAAAACTGAATAATATATAGTAATTTTTATTCAACAATTATAAAAAAAATATATAATTTGATTGATAATTCAACAAATAAATAATTAAAGTATCTATAGTATATCAACAATATTACCCACTGCATTTTATCCTACTGATTAGGACAATATTTCTGTGGATTCATTATCATCTGTGGGATATCAATTTTTGTGGATTTCTTGGGTATAGGCAAGGGCGGATCCATAATTTTTGAAAAGGGGGCGTAATTCCATAAAAGTGCAGTAATATCGCCGAGAATAGCTAAAAAAAAATTTGGACGATTGTATGCTACCCTCGAAATCTGCCACTGAGTATATATTTTCTTTAGGCTTGTATGAGGACTTTTGCAAAAACATGCATCAAATATCAACAAAATTACAATACTTTCTCAATCCACAAAAATTGGTACCCACGGAAATAAATGAATCCACAGTGATATATTATTGCACATTTTACATGTTTCTGTAATAGTTTGCATCAGAGGACATGTATACAAAATTTGTATAAAGAGACAGCATTAAATGCACTTTTTACAGCAATTTATCTTTATGAATTTTGTAAGGAATCAATTACTAGTGAGTAGTAAGATTTTTATTATGTAGTAAGTGTGTGTTACATACATGTTTGTAATCTACAAATTTACCAACTTAGTCTTATTACACACAATACAATATTAAAGGACCACAAAGTTTGCAATACAAAAATATTACTCAAAATTTAATACTTAACAATTATGATACTTACAATATTAAAAGTGAAATATAATCTTTTTTTTAATAAAAATATTATACAACAATTAAATCTGAAAAGGCCAAACAGTTTGCAAATACTGTAACTTTTTTCCCTTCAAAATCCATTCTTTGAGTGAATCTTTTTGCCGATTTACTATTACTACCTCAACTGTTTTTTTTTTTATCCCTGATATGGTTTATGTATTAAGAAACCACTGTTGATCCAAAGTATGGGCTGACTTTTTAAACAACTTGATCAGTATGAAGAGATGAATTTAAGCTGCAAATTGAAAAGCGATTTTGACCCATTGTCATGGTGAAAGGTCTGGTGAAGTGTAACCTAAAGGATCCCGTACCAGAAACCATCATTAAGTCAGTCAGAAAGTAAAACTCCTATAGACTAGGTTATAAAATAATCACAAATCATTTTTCATAGTAAAAAAAATATATTTGAAACTTGTAATATAATTTTTTATAAAATAACATTCATAACATTTTTTAATAATCATTAAAAAATAACCATTCACCCTCCTAATAATTAAACAATCATACATATAATAAGGAAAAGTCGTTAATAATCATAAAAAATAGTAATGGTAATCAGGTATTTATAAATCAAAATCCATTGTACAAAGGATTATTTTTTTATATTTCTGACTTCATTACAGGTATTATGGTACAGTTTAAATAAACATTTTTACCTAGCTTTCCATCTACTCTATCAATTATTCATCCCTCAAGATGACTTATACTACCTTTTAACATACATTGATAGCTTTATAACAATAAGGAGATGTGGTATGATTGCCGATGAGACAACTATCCACCAGAGTTAAATGATGTGGATAACCAACAGATGGAGCAAAGGATTTTCGATAAATAATATATGTTTTTTTATGCACCCTAATCAAACAATGATTTGAAATACTGGTATATTGAAAAGAAAAAAATTGATATAAAATGATAGTTGATGGGGTTCATGTTTCTCAATCTGTATGGGTTCAAAGTTGCTTAAAATAATGAAAGGTCCAGGACCATTTGAAATTTTAAGTGAAGGGTCCTCCATAAGAAATCAATGGTCATGTATCAAGCATCAGTGTAAATAATGGTAGGTCCTTGACTTTTGTAATTTTAAAATGAAAAGTCCTCTCCTAAAAAAGACAGGTCGTGGACCTTGGACCCACACTAATTTGAACTCCTGATCTTATGTTTTTGTATAGTGTTTTCTGGACTGATGTTTGTCCTTTTTTTTGGCTAGGTGACAGGCAACTAACATTAATTACCCTTCATTCTTTTTTTTAACAGAAATAGAATACTGTGTGAATGTGGATTATTGTTGTGACTTCAATGCATAAATTTAACGGCCACATTACATAATAAGTGTTCTCTTCACAACAAATTTTTAGTTTATTAATTTTCACATGGATATTTGCTTGTTTAAATTGACATCACTAGAAAAATAAAACCTGTGTGAAAATTCCATCTCTACTGTACCACAGCCTTTTTTTTCACACTTTTACCAGCACAATATGTACAATTGTACTGAATTGAAAAACATATAAATTTGCTGTATAATTTCTATTCAAAATTACTGTGGATTCATTTTTATTCGTGGTATACCAATTTTCGTGGGTTTCGTGGGTCTCAGCGAACCACGAATTTAAGAATTCAACGAAGAATAATCCCGAGAAATGTGTATGGAGTCGGATGTTTATTTCCAGTTATGTTATGCAGTTCTAGTATAGTGTTGACTAACGATAAACATTGTAACATAACACGTGTTTTTCTTGAAAGAAGATACAAGTATTTTGATTAAATCAATAATAGATATATCGAATATCAGTGACAATTTACTTTTTAAAATTGATTTAAACTGTTCATGGAAAATAAATGCAAGTTGTTAATTACCGTGTCATAGTTTGGTTTACTGGTGATTAAAAATCAATAGGATTAACGGTGCGGGGATATTGCCCGTAGGTAATATCATTTATGACAGGAACATTTATTTTCACACCTTTTACTTAAACTTATATATTATATCGTGATTAGGGAAATGAGCTTTTGATCATAGAGTTTTGAATGCCTTATAAAATTCCGACAAGAATTTATAAATTGTAAAACAAACAACTAATTAGTTGTCTCTGTCCATTATTGTAATTGAAGTTTTCAATGAACACTTTAACCTAGATTGACCAAGCGAGGATTTTGACAATTCAAAACCTTTTCAATGAATTCTTTCTTTTTTGTTTGTTTTATTATTGATCAAACCAAGGAGGGTATATGATCTCCTAAATTAAAAAGAAATCCACGAATTACGTATCGGATTTTTTTTTTTTGTTATCAGCGATCCACGAATTTACGTATACCACGAAACGTCTTTTTTTCTCTATCCACGAAAATTGATACCCACGAAAATAAATGAATCCACAGTAAGTCTGAATTTAATACAGAATTTTCACATCATTAGCTCATAGCTCACAATGAATATCTTTAGTTATACAATAAATAATCAAAAGTAAATATCCATTAAGGATTTGACATTCAAGCTGGCCTTTAAATTAGCACCACTTGTGTCATTCCAGGCATAGAATGTTACTACTTTCTGTGCTTGTATCATTAAGAATCCATTATCACTAAATCTACCCATTGTTTTGTAGGCATCCAACCATACAAATGGGGCTACTGCTGTACTTTGTAGTGTGATGTTAAATTCTTTCATAGGAACTGTTTCTTTTACATCAATTATCTGAAAAAAATTGTAAACAGCAGTTTTTCAGTAAATATGTGCTTCTTGAATATATATAAATAATAAAAAGCAAGCAATTAGGGTGATTGTGGCAGATTTCAATAATCTATGTCAAATTCATTCACAACTTACTTACTTTGGTAAATTTTGAGCATGGAACTTTGTATTGACACCTGTCTATTGTTGAAGACCTCATGCCGACATCTCAATGTATCCTGGTGTGTTGTGTTGTTAAGTTGCTGTCTCATTGAAGGAAAACTCCACCTCTCTTTATAGTCTTAATTTCATAAATGAAAATATCTATTAGAATTTAAATCTATATGAATAGTATGTTTCATAAAATGTATACTTGAGATTTTGGAGTTGAAATTGGTAAAATGACAGAAAATACAATACAATAAAATGCTTCGCTGGGGCGCAGCTTGATACGACCGCAGAGGTCGAACCCTGAACAGTTGGGGCAAGTATGGACACAACATTCAAGCTTGATACAGCTCTGAATTTGGATTGTTATTAAATATTTGACACAGCATAGGTTTCTGACACAGAAAGAATGTGGTCTAAGAACTTGAATTTTTTTAATTTACCTATTATGGTCCAATGTCCAAAATCAAAATACATGGTTAGATTCAGCATATCAAAGAACCCCATATATTCAAATTTTGTAAAAATCAAACAAAGTTTAATTTTGGACCCCAACTTGGACAAACTTGAAAACTGGGCCCATAATCAAAAATCTAAACACATGTTTAGATTCAGCATATCAAAGAACCCCAAGAATTCAATTTTTGCTAAAATCAAACTAAGTTTAGTTTTGGACCCTTTGGACCTTAATGTAGACCAATTTAAAAAACGGGACTTAAAATTAAAAATCTAAATACACGGTTAGATTTGGAATATCAAAGAACCCCAATAATTCAATTTTTGATGAAATCAAACAAAGTTTAATTTTGGACCCTTTTGACCTCAATATGAACCAATTTGATAGCGGGGCCCACAAATAAAAAATCTAAATTCATGGTTAGATTCAGCATATCAAAGAACCCCATATATTCAATTTTTGTTGAAATGAAAAAAAGTTTAATTTTGGACCCCAACTTGGACCAACTTGAAAACTGGGCCCATAATCAAAAATCTAAACACATGTTTAGATTCAGCATATCAAAGAACCCCAAGAATTCAATTTTTGTTAAAATCATACTAAGTTTAATTTTGGACCCTTTGGACCTCAATGAAGACCAATTTAAAAAACAGGACCCAAATTAAAAATCTAAAAACACGGTTAGATTTGGCATATCAAAGAACCCCAATAATTCAATTTTTGATGAAATCAAACAAAGTTTAATTTTGGACCCTTTTGACCTCAATATGAACCAATTTGATAGCGGGGCCTACAAATAAAAAATCTAAATACATGGTTAGATTCAGCATATCAAAGAACCTCATATATTCAATTTTTGTTGAAATCAAACAAAGTTTAATTTTGGACCCCAATTTGGACCAACTTGAAAACTGGGCCCATAATCAAAAATCTAAATACATGTTTAGATTCAGCATATCAAAGGACCCCATATATTCAATTTTTGTTGAAATCAAACAAAGTTTAAATACTGGACCCTATCTTGGACCAACTTGAAAACTGGGCCCATAATCAAAAATCTAAACACATGTTTAGATTCAGCATATCAAAGAACCTCATATATTCAATTTTTGTTAAAATCAAAGAAAGTTTAATTCTGGACCCTTTGGACCTTAATGTAGACCAATTTGAAAACTGGACCCAAAATTAAAAATATAAATACACTGTTAGATTCGGCATAACAAATAAATAAATGTGATCAAAGATTTTACAAATCTAATGCGCCATACTGTGCAATTAAAGATTACTTCTTGAAATTTTTCAATATTTGAAATTTGAAAAAAAAAAAAATATTTGAAGAATAATTCTTTTTAATTTCTGAAATCTGAAATGAGAAAAAATTGACCCCCAACAATTTCTTTTTATCCCCCCCCCCTTTTTTTCCCCAAAAAAATTCTTTCCTTCAAGATATGGTCATAATCTCAATTCAAATTTCCAATGGAGTTGGCAACCATAATTACCCATTTAAATTTACCATAGTGCTAACTTAATCTATTTTGTAATAGAATTAAAAATATAGTGTCAAATCTTTCATATGGATTTTTTTGTAAAAAAAAAAGATGCAACATTTGCAGATATTTTTACTGGTCTTCCTTTATAAATATGCATTTCTTTAAACATAATTTAAAAGCAGTGTAAGGGAAATAACCAAAACGTTGTATTTGGATTACCTCCCTTACACTGTTTTAAATTATCTTTATTGTTCATTAACCATTACTTTATACATAATTTAAAAGCAGTGTAAGGGAGATAATTTCAATGATGTATTTGATTTATCTCCCTTACACTGCTTTAAATTATGTTTTGTACTAAAGTATTTGTCCATTAACCAGGACAACCTTGTTTTCCCCCTTTTTTGCCCCTAATTCCTAAACGGTTTGAGCCATAACCCCCCAAGGCAAATCCTAACCATCCCTTTGTGGTATGGAAACTTGTAGTATAATTTCAGAGAGATCCATACACCCTTCCACAGTTATTGTCTGGAAACTAGTAAATGCTATTTTTGGCCCCTTTTTGGCCCCTAATTCCTTAACTGTTGGTACCATAACCCCCAAAATCAATCCCAACCTTCCTTTTGTGGTATTTAACCTTATGGTCAAATTTCAAAAAGATCCATTCACTTAAACTAAAGTTAGAGTGCGAAAACCAATGTGTATTCGGACGACGACGCCGGACGACGACGACGACGCCAACGCCAACGTCATACCAATATACGACCACAAAATTTTTTTGCGGTCGTATAAAAATTGTCAATTAATAATAGTAAATTCTTATGCTCAATGTTTAACATAAATTCTTATGCTCAATGTATAACATATTATTTCAAACATATCTCATAGCTTTCATAACATTAAATTTTTGTTTAATTACGCATAGTGCTTTAAACAAACATCTATAAAACTTAAAAGTGGCTAGGTTTACATGAAATTCTTATTATGCTCCAACAGTTTAATCAAAATTACTCAAAATAGATATCATAAGTACTATCCAGGTTTCTTAGTTGCAGCTTTAAACTAGATGATAACTAGTGGACAGATTAATCCAGTCATTATACATCTGTTTAATATATAATTACCAGTATGTTTATATGATGTTTATATATGTTGACAAAAGTGGACACACATAAATACATCGAAAATGTAATTGATTATGACTGAAATATATGTTGAAAATTTGTTGGATCAAAACATTTTGAATTTACAAGGAGGATACTGAAATCATGATAAAGACTGCAATTATAAAAAAGAATAAAATCTTCCTAAAAAATAATTTAGAAACTGACCTCCTTACACATACTTAACGTGAATCCCTAAACCATGAACATAGTCTCATATGACACTTTTTAGATAGACATGTACTTCTTAAGGATGTTTGCTTATAATGTTTTCAACTTTTTGACAGATATTCAGAATCCTATGGTTTTATTCATGTGGTGCCATTAAAAAATTTTGCCTGCTGACTCCTAATTTTCTTTTCATGTTTTTATTACATTTAGTTTAAAAAGCAATTTATGAATATTTTTTAAAATCCTTGTTCTTTTTCATACTTTTTGAAAGTAAAAAAGGTACCAATGTTAAATGTATGAAAAATCTAGAGAGAATCATTTCCCGCCAAATGTTCAATGGCTTATATCTCAAAAACAATGAACACAGACCTTGCATTTTTTTCTGCTTTTTCAGTTCTGTTATTTATATACTATCAATTTATAACAGCCTTTTAAAAAGCTTGTTATTTTGAAACAGAGAAGCAAACATCCTTAATTTAGAAGTTTCCCAAATTAAATATCTGCAATCACAAATCTGACATAAAAATTATATTAACGACAAGAACTGTAGATTCATTTATTTTTAGTGGGTACCAATTTTCATTGACTGTTGATTTTACTGTTATATCAAATTCAGTGTACAAGTTTTTATAGTAAATTTGTTATTTGTTGAACACTTAAATTAGTGGTTCACAAAAGAAATTCACATAAATTAGTACCTCATGAATAATAATGAATCCACAGTATTTATAGATGACCAATGATAATCTGTTTATCACTATTTTACCTATGACGACGTTGTTAATTTCATTGACAATGGCACGTGTGCCCTTAGTTTCTAGCGATAATTTTTCATATCACTCTACTGTGCTGAGAAAGAAAATTATCAGTCAGTAAGATCAAAGGAAAATTTCGTAAAATAGCGATAAATATCATTACATTTAACCTACCTGTATTGATGCATTTTGTAAACCAATTGCATCTTTAAAAGTTGAAAGTGAAAACCAGTTGGTTGGACCATTAACTGGATCCCCCAAGTGGAAGTAAAGAAAACAATTTTTTGTTCTGATACATCCAGCTGTAGACATCATTGCATTAACATCAGCTTGAAATACCATGTCGGTTGTCTTCTGTAACTGTAAAAAAAAAAAAAAACAATACACTAACACACCCACAGATGGCAAAACGAGAAGGGACATGACTACAGTTTATTTTATTCAGCCAATAAATGAAAAATAAAAACTTAGTAAAAAACTTACAATGCTAAATTGACCATTAAAGATGGTTAAATACAATGATTTTTACCGTAGGCGACAATAGTAGCATTGATTGAAATACTGACTTCAGAAAGCTGATTTTCAAAACGAGACCATGTAAGATATAAAGGAAAAATATTTGATTTGTTTATCATATTGCGCACATTACTCAATTGTAATCTATAATTCCAATACATTATTATTGCCTTCATCTGCAACCTTTTCCAAGCAAAGTAAAATAAACCATTACAAAACAGACTTCGTGATAGCACTATAAAAAGGGGTTGAAGGACCTTTTTCAGGACGTCTTGATTCAGGAACTCAGGAACAGCTTGTTAAATCGTTTAGAATTCTGGATTTAATCATATTATGATGCGGGAACAAACACATTATTTTCACGAGAATGTAGTATTTGCCATTTATTTTTCTCTGGAATTTTGGATTTTTCTAAAAAATTGTACCGTAAAATATATTTTATTATTGATTCAAATAAATCATTCAAAAAGATCACTGTCAATTCAGTGAAACAGACATCCTTATCAAAATCAGTTTGGCAGAAATGAAATCTAAAAAGTTTTAAAATTCAAATGTTTCCAGCTTATTGCATTTGGCTTTATATCTACTTCCACATACATGAGTTTGTTCTTGTTCCAACAAAATAACAAGTTGAAAATTAATAATTTGAATCTAAGACAGGTTAAAGGGGTTGCATTAATATGATAGAAGCTCATTGTAAGCTTAAGGCTTGTCAATATGTTGTTCAAGACTCATAACAATCTTTTACAATTTTCAACATTTGATAAAACACACAATTAAACATGTCGAAGACCGTACTTTGACCTATAATGGTTTACTTTTATAAATTTTGACTTGGATAGGGAGTTGTCTTATTGGCACATATACCACATCTTCTTATATCTATATAGTATTCTATACCAGTACCATTTATCTGAAGGAAAAAAATAGAAAACAATTTTAGGAGAAATACTAATGATCATTAATATATTTGGTAACATTTTACTTACATTATAATTTTGTGTCCAAGTATGAAGTGGTGTTAAACTATCCCACGAGTACATCTGTATGTACAAGGTACCAGATGTCACATTTGATTGTGGTTTATTTTGCGACTGAGGATGTGGATTCCATGGTGCAAATAAATTAGTGATTGGTTTGAAGTGAACCTGGCCTGTTTGTGGATGTCTGTGTACAGAAGATGGGATCTGGTCTACAATGATGTAAACCTCTATATTGTTCCCTTCTTGTGTTGGTGAAATTAAAAGTGGAGCAAAAAAGTTTTTGGCAAAGTAATGCAGCATCTTCCATTTCCCTGAGTATTCTGAAAAAAAAAATGATAGCAGGATTTACACCTATGCAAACTCGTGAACACAGTTTTGTGTGCTTAGCTGTTAGGCAATACAATGATGTCACAGAACATGTACCTCTAGTCAGAATAAAAACCATCTTTCATATTTTTAGTTATTAAAAAAAAAAGAACATAAACTGGTGTTCACAAACAATACTGGTCAATATTGAAAAGTTTTAAATACAATAACATTTAAAATACTCTAATTAATTTAAAGTCTTTCAAGGGGTAAGTTCAAGAAGGCCCAAATATGGCTTCTATTTCAACTTTATATTTTAAATTAGGATTTATGGGCCATTATCACAATGTATGATAGTTAGAACAATGACCAACTAATATGGACTATTTTATGAACATTTATGTGTCAGTGTTCTCTTTATAACATGATTGAATGGTGTTTAACGCCACTTTTAGCACTGTTGGCTATTTTGTGGTGGTCAGTTTTTATTGGTGGAGGAAGCCAAAGTGCCTGGAGAGAACCACAGATCACAGTAGGATAACTGACAATCCTAGTCAATTAAGATTGGAGTCGAACACACATGCCGAAATGGAATCTTTATAATATAAAAATTAGCATAAATAAAAATGTTCCACCAAATTCAATGAAAACAGGTCAATAATCATTGGTTTTTATGGTTGGTTCAGAGCAAAAACATACAGTGCAGACATCCAAAAAAGATCTTCTAACATTATTTTTGTCACAAAAAAAAACCCAACCTATTATACTTGTACTTGAATATAAAGTTTGTCGAAGCCTTAATTCTGTGTTTCCTAATCCCTTAATGTAGTTGAAGTCTCAACAATTATTTCAATTTTCACAGAGATCTCTATTTTTTCCTATTTTATGTTTAAATGGCAACACTTTACATAAAAAGCTAGACAGAAAACTTTCTTTTTCCCTTTATGGCATGTTTTTGAATCAATTTGAAACACTTTTTATTGGCCTGGTTGGACAAAGTCCAAAACCAGCTGATAGTATGGTGATGTAGAGAGGGTGGGCAGGGATACAGGGAAAAGTCCGTACCTAATTTGTGTAGTCAACTCCTCCTACAGTTTTAAACCCACATGAAACTTCACAGGAAGATTACACATATGTTGAAGTTGTCATAATATTTAAATGTTCAGAATAGAACATTCTCCATTGTTTAAGAAATATTCTGTGCAAACCGATGTTGTTAGTTATTGTGTGCCTCTTACCAATCTTTTGAGTTAAGCCAATTGCAACTGATTTTTACAGTTTGTATTTATGTTGTGCTGTTACACCACTGTCCCAGATTAGGGGGAGGTTTGAGCGCTCACAAACATGTTTAACTCGCTACATTCTTTATGTGCCTGTTTCAAGTCAGGAGCCTGTAGTACAGTGGTTGTTGTTAGTTCATGCCTGTCATATTTGACTTTAGTAAATTGTTTTGTTATAAATTAAGCCGTTAGTTTTCTAATTTGAATTGTTTCACATTTTCTGTGCCCGGGCCTTTTATAACTGACTATACAGTATGGGTTTTTCTAATTGTTGAAGGCCATAAAGTGGCCTATAATTGCTTACTTACACTTCATTTTAACTCAGGTGGATAGCTGTCTCATTGGCAATCATAACACATCTCCTCATTTTTATACTAAATATATTAATATTTTATAAGTATTTTTGTACAATAATTCATTTCATTGTCATTCAGAAAGCAAATTGATAAGGTTCAACATTTGAACTGAACGTAAACTTACCAAGTGAAGACCATGTGGGAGCTTGCCAAATGTCATTAAGCATCCAGTACATAGCTCCCATTGTAAGTCCTCTGCCTTTATCATCAAGTTTATTCTGCCATCGTCTATAGTGTTCAGTTTCTGTCTTCATTCCTATTGCTTGGTCAATCTGAAAAAAAGAAATTACTAAAACAAATGTCTATTATTAACAAGAAATGATTGTTACAGGATGCTGTTACGAAGTCTCCCAAACGAAGCTCCCATAATTCGTAATTCCCAGGGTCGCTTGACATTGGGCAACGTCCAGTGAAAATTGGTTTGGTCCAGTAAAGTTATATGCATAAGTGATGCCTGGGGACTAACCTTGTACATCATTCAAATCCTCTTGGCATGACAAACCAGAATATATATGGTTTAGGGGTGGGGATCTCGACCATTTACAAGATACTAGAACATTTGGGGTGGGGAGGAACCCCTGGGGACTGACCCTAAACGTCATTCAAATGTTCATTACATGACGAACAGGAATATATATGGTTTAGGGGTGGGGATCTCAACCATTTACAAGATATTAGAACATTGGGGGTGGGGGGAACCCCTGGGGACTGACCGTATACGTCATTCAAATGTTCGAGACATGACAAATAGGAATATATATGGTTTAGGGGTGGGGATCTCAACCATTTACAAGATATTAGAACTTTCTCAAATGGCAGGGGGTCGGGATGACCCCTGGGGACTAACCCTGTATATCATTCAAACCATCTTCGCATAACAAACCAGAATATATATGGTTTAGGGGTGGGGATCTTGACCACTTAGATATTAGAACTTTCTTAAATGGCAGGGGGTGGGGGTGACCCCTGGGGACTAACCCTGTATTTCATTTGATGTGCTTTATCATGACAAACCAGAATATATATGGTTTAGGGGTGGGGATCTCGACCATTTACAAGATATTAGAACTTTCTCAAATGGCAGGGGGTCGGGATGACCCCTGGGGACTAACCCTGTATATCATTCAAACCATCTTAGCATGACAAACCAGAATATATATGGTTTAGGGGTGGGGATCTTGACCACTTACAAGATATTAGAACTTTCTTAAATGGCAGGGGGTGGGGGTGACCCCTGGGGACTAACCCTGTATTTCATTTGTTGTGCTTTATCATGACAAATAGGAATATATATGGTTTAGGGGTGGGGATCTCGACCATTTACAAGATATTAGAACTTTCTCAAATGGCAGGGGGTCGGATGACCCCTGGGGACTAACCCTGTATATCAGTCAAACCATCTTAGCATGACAAACCAGAATATATATGGTTTAGGGGTGGGGATCTTGACCACTTAGAAGATATTAGAACTTTTTTAAATGGCAGGGGGTGGGGGTGACCGCTGGGGACTAACCCTGTATTACATTTGATGTGCTTTATCATGACAAACCAGAATATATATGGTTTAGGGGTGGGGATCTCGACCATTTACAAGATATTAGAACTTTCTCAAATGGCAGGGGGTCGGGATGACCCCTGGGGACTAACCCTGTATATCTATCAAACCAACTTAGCATAACAAACCAAAATATATATGGTTTAGGGGTGGGGATCTTGACCACTTACAAGGTATTAGAACTTTCTTAAATGGCAGGAGGTGGGGGTGGCCCCTGGGGACTAACCCTGTATTTCATTTAATGGGCTTTATCATTTAGAACATTTTCAATTAAAAAGATTGTGTCTATCACAAACGGTTTTCAATTTATAATCATTTGAAAATTAAAAAAAATAAAATCCCATAGGGTTCTAAAGTAAAACCCTCTTTTCTTTTTACCCCTCAAAGTATTCCTTTATAAACCCCATTGCACAAACAAAACCTTGATTGCACCACTAGACATGTTAGTCTAACATATTGTGAAACCCTAAGTTAATCTGACAAGTGGTTTTGGAGAACGGGTGCGGACAAGTTCAAATTTAAAAGCGGCGGAAGAGGAAGAAGAAGAATAATAATAATAAGAACTGAGCAAAAACAATAAGTCTTCCCAAACTTCGTTTGGGAGACTTAATAAACATATATAAATTCTTATATAGTTCAGCCTTTTTCTGACAACGCTATGAAATTGCAACTGTTTATCAAAATTGCTTAATTAACTTACCTGTGTCACATAAATCTGGTCCATAAATAACTTCTGTTTATCAGGGTTGTTTGGTAAATGTAAGTACATGATAACTTCTGCCATCATCTCAACCATACCTAATAATATAAACAAAATTAAAAGTATTTTGCTGATGTATTAGCATTTCTGCTGAAGGCTTATCATACACTTCAGCTCTGATGCATTATACCCTTCAACTGACTCACCATGGCTAGCCTACTCCTTTCCAATCAAAGTTAACCAGAGATTTTGCAAAAAAATTGAATACAAGAGCTTCTTTCATTTTTCAAAGGAATTGAGCAAGTCTTAATGGAAATGACATGCATATTCCATACAATGAAACACACTCAATGTTACCAAATTTTCATTTGGATATAATCTAATTATTATAACCACAATCCTGTCCTCTTTAGCTCAAATGTGACATCATGGAATGAGACTTATCACAAAATATGCACTGACACGAGCAAAACTGTTTTCTATGCTGTGTTTTGTAGATTGTGGTCTATCATCGCTTTTTTTTTGCCATGGCATTTTCAGTTTGACTCCAACTTATGGATGGAATATCCCCTTGATATCGTCTGCCTCTCTTTCACCTATAATGATTTACACCATTTCTCAAACTTCTATGGTGCATTTTCAGAAAAGAGAGCTTTTTCACATTGATAAATTAAGAAATTATTAAGAAACTAAGGTTCCAACTCCCTCAGGCAAAGTTGACGTCAGATAAATTTGGCTATTTTCATAATTTTTTTTAGGTCCCTTTTACTCATATGGCTCTTCACATGTTTAGGTCTTATACATCCTTGACTTTCAAATGCTTGGATATGAGCTTTCCTGTTGAAGGTAAATCAAGCAAAGCACTTTGGACGCACAAAGTTTATATTGTTACTTTCATTTTCTATCACAAGTTTTTGCTTTCCTAGGAATAGTACTAAATGTCTTACTAAACTGAAACTGATATTGTATATGTACTACTAATGTATTCAACAACAAATACAGATTAATCATTGTTCTAAAGAAATATTTTAGAGCTGACTCAAAAACTTGTAAGGCAGTGTGCACAGGCATAGCAAAGTACTTACAAATTTGTAGGGGAGCTGAAGGTATTTTGAAATGCATTATCACAAAAATGGTATATAATTACTAACTGTGCTTATACAAAAGGCTTTATCCTTTCACAATGTAAATTGGCCCATAATTTTTCCAAAGTTGCAGTTTGAATTATCTCTTCAAATTGATCAACTGGCAAACATTTTAGCCCATTGTTCAAGTGAAAGTTGTTAGTATGAAGCAAGGGCAGCTTAATAAAAAATATTTTTACAATCCAATTCATGTGGATGACTATTTTTTTCACTGGAAGATTGGGATTATCTTGCATTTTACCATATTCGCAAATTTTGGAATTTACGCTATACATCAATTATTCTTCAAATTAGCATGCTTGTTTTGCTCCTACAATAAGGGAGCTCCAATCATATTACTTCAGTCATCAAGGATAACTAATAATAGATATATTCCAATGATAGCTATAGGAAAAATAGGGGAATATGTTTATAAACATATGATGTATAAAAATAAAAAAAAACAAATGTTATACCAAAAGGATGATGTTGCCTGTGTTCTAGCATATCAGACCAGTAATACAGATCTGAATCTTTTAGGACAGCATCCAGAGACTCATATGATGGTAGTGACTGCAGACCATATTCTGATGAAAACCGTGGTATTCTGTAAGAGGATGGCATGAAGAATGGATCCATATATTTGTATTCATGTACTACAATAGAAAAATAAACATTTGATAGTTTATATTTTTTAAAGGAAAATTACCACTATTGATTGATTGATTGATTGGTGTTTTACACCACTTTCAGCACTATTGTGCTATTTCATGGTGATCAGTTTTATTTGGTGGAAAATTACCACTAACTTAGTATTTTGTTGTGTTTTGTATACTGTTGTTTGTCTTTTGGTCATTTTTTCGTTTTTTGACTTAATAGTTTGAATGTCCCTTTGATATCGTCCTCCTCTCTTTTAGTATGATATTCTTATATCAAATAATGCATAAAAGGATAACAAGAACATACTTATATACACATTCATCTATTGTTTTTCAGTTTACAAGTATTCAAAAACATTATGATAACTGCTGGGACCTATGTGAACATTTTTGATAGTTTTAAGAGTTTCTTGCAATTCATAAAGTGTGAAGCTTGATGATAGTGCTGTCTGGACCTCTTTTAATCCAGTGATAGCATAAAAAACTAGCTTTTCCAGTATCTTGTTTCACTATCAGACATCTTTACAACTCATTCAAGAGCTTACATATTGATGGAACTTCTCATTTTTCAAAGGCTTATGATAAATCTGTATGTTTATATTTTGATTCTTGAGAGTTTGTCATATAGCTGTCTTATAAATATTGACCTCACATCTTTTTTCAAATAAATTTACTTACTATCTCCATAATGTTCATCCCAAGGCATTTTGGCAACCCATCCTTCAGCCATACTCTCCTTACCATTAGCTGGACTAGAGGCTATAAATGGACGATTTGGGTCTTCCTTTTGTACAACTTTATAAATCACATCTTTATATAATTTGATGTAATCATTGTAGTATAGTGTAAAGTTCACATCAGTGTTATACCTAAAAAAAAACACACAGTTTATAGTTATAAATAAAACCATACTGTCTTGCAACTACTGTCCTTTAACCTCTTTAATGGAATGACTTTGTATAACTGAAATACCTTAACTGATTTAATTTATATACCATTTGGATATTATAACAAATTAGTTATACTTAAATAAAGAAATTACTTCATTGATTCCTGTTTTTTTTCCTGAATTCAAAACAGTTCAATGCTGAAGGGAGATAACTCTCGTGTCATGTCTATCAGAATCTTTTACTTTAATAAGCACTTAAATTTATAGTTCATCTATTCCTGCGAAAACCACAAAAATTGGTAACCCAACAATAATAATGAATTCACAGTATTAGAAATGCCAAAAGTCTTGAAATAAAACATATAATACATGTTATACATAAGGAATTGCAAAATATTTATATCTTATTAGGCAATTCAAGATGACTGAGGAACTTACAAAAAGCAATTTGAAAATTCCAACATTCTGGTAGTCACAATGGCAAACTCCATTGCATAAGATGAGGTTTAAAGATAGAAGACAGTTCAATCTGGATTTAAAAAAAAATTCTAAGGTATTGAAATAGATATGTCTGAGGGGAAACAACAATCTTCTAGGGACTTTACCTTAGTTTACATGAGTTCCACCTGAGAAATGATAGTTTCAACACCTGACATTTGAAATACTGTTCTTGATATTTTAAAAATAAAACTGACATCTTGCAGGAAAATTGGTTAACATGTCCTGGTGTATGGTTTCAGTTGTAAAAGCTGACTTAATCTGCTTTCGTTTTATCCATTCAATGATTCTCAAGATAATGTAAATTACTAATACATGAACTATTAGAGGGATGAACAAGAGACTACCAAGAGCCTGAATCGCTCACCTGGTAAATATATGTGCCATTTTGATACTAATTTTTTCCTTTATTAAAATCAGTTATGTTTGCTTATTTGAAGATGTCATTTAGTGGCATTTTTGTAGGTCTTGTATTAATGATCATTTTTGCTGTTTACAGTTTATATCTATCTCTTAAAAGATTTTGAGATAAAAAAAACATCATTTAATGGCAATAAAGCCTACTAGTGTGGTAATTTGGCCATGTTGACATACTTGTGTATCTTATTTTGCTTTTTAGTTTCTCTCTATAACTCATACAAGTTTTGACAAAAATACAAAAAATAGATAAAAGTCATCATTATGAGGAAATAACTTCTATAAGGATTCAATTGAAAATTTTGGCCATAATGACTGATTTAAAGATTGTATCTTGCTGAACATTTTTACATTTTTTACTGTTTCCTTCTATCTATTATAGTTTGTGTAGAAACTGCAAAAATGGAAAACAAAAATCTTCTTTCAAGGGCGATAGCTCATCTTTGGGATCAATTTATGATATCATCAGTGTTGACTTATTTGTAGATCCTACTTTGATAAACACTGTTGCTTTTTACAATTTCTCTCTATCTATTAGTTTCTGCAATAAATGCGATAACTGAGTAAAATAATTAACGATTCGTTCATGTTGACTTATTTGTAGATTATATTTTATTGAAAATTTTTTTACTATTGAAAGATTCTCTCTATCAACCACGATTTCCTAAACAATGGAAAAAATGGTAAAAATCATCACTTAGAGCCAAAATAACTCCTATAAAGGGTCATTTGACGTATATGCCAAGCTGACTTATTTGTAGATCTTATGGTTCTGGTTATTTTTACTGTTAAAATTTCTCTCTATCTGTAATAGTTTTCAAGATAATAACCAATAAATTGCTCGGCTGAGCGCAGCTGGATACGCCCGCAGAGGTCCAACCTTGAACAGTTGGGGCAAAAATGGACACAATATTCAAGCTTGATACAGGTCTGAATTTGGATTGTAATTAAATATTTGACATATTATAGGTTTCTGAATAAATGTAGTCAAAGAACTTGAAATTGGTTATATGAATTGAATTTATATTCAATTAAAGATTTCTTGCTGTTGTGCAATACACTGTGCTGTTGCGCAATACTTAGTAAATCTGTTGTCAGACTATAAACAAATAAAGTTCAATTTCTTCTCAATGTCATATTTGAAATTTATGAAAATCAATAGGGAGATTACATCAATAGCTATAAATAATTCACCAAAGTTTCGTGAGAACTGCTGAAAGCATTTTTGAGTTATTGTCCAAAAACTGGAAAATCCCCCCTTTTTTAATGAATAAAACCCTATAACTCAGAAATGTAAAATCTAAAATTTATAAAATTCTAAAGGGAGCTTACATCAACAGATATAAACAATTCACCAAAGTTTCATGAGAACTGCTGAAAGTATTTTTTAGTTATTGTTCGAAAACTGGAAAATCACCCTTTTTTTATGAATAAAACCCTGTAACTCAGAAACGTAAAATCTTAAATTTATAAAAATCGAAAGGGAGCTCATGTCAATAGATATAAACAATTCACCAAAATTTCTTGCAAGTTGGTGAAAGCATTCTTGAGTTATTGTCGGAAAACTGGAAAATCCCCCCTTTTTTAATGAATAAAACCCCAAAACTCGGAAACGGTAAATCTGAAATTTATAAAAAACGAAAGGGAGCTCACGTCAATAGATATAAACAATTCACCAAAGTTTGATGCATATTGGTTAAAGCTTTTTTGAGTTAATGTCCGACATGTTGATGACGGATGGACGGACAGACGGACAGTCAACGGTATACCATAATACGTCCCGTAAACGGGTGTATAAAAACAGTGAAATTTGTAAAAAAAAAAATTGACATTTCAGGGGTATAACACCAAAATAGGTTATCCCACTTTTCTGAAAACTTTAAAAGGAGGTAGACTTTGACCTGATGATATGTTGTAGCCTATGTCAGATTTGCTCTAACTGCTTTAGTTTTTGAGATATAAGCCAAAATCTGCATTTTACTCCTATGTTCTATTCTTAGCAACAGTGGCCATGTTTATTTATTGATCATATGCCTGGATACAATTTTTAAACTAAAAATTTGTAAGGGTTCTGCGGAACCCAGTGTCTCGCCTACTTTTGCTGTTAATCGCAGGCTCAACAAAAATGAGGAAAAAAATCAATAAAAATATTCCTTTAGATACTATCTTTCGATTGAAGAAGCTTCTGTCAAAGTTTGGTATAAATCCAGGATAGTTTATGAATCTAATAAATGTTTTAAAAACTTTAACTGCAGACTGTATTTAATGTTACGGTAACAGGAAGAAAAACTAAGTCCATTTATAAGTAAAATACGGATAAAAAGGTACAAATTTTAACAAAATTTCCTTCTAGATCATGTAGATACTAGCTTTTGATCACAAACAAGCTTCTGTCCAAATTTGGTACAAATCCAGGATAGTTTAAGAAAGTTATTAAAATTTTAAAAACTTTAACCACAGAGTGAATGTATTGTTTCCTGGCAGAAAAACTAAGTCCATTTATAAGTAAAATACGGAAAAAATGAAATTTGTTTTTTAACAAATTTACTTCTGGATACTATCTTATGATCATAAACAAGCTTCTGTCCAAGTTTGGTACAAATCCAGGATAGTTTAAGAAAGTTATTAAAATTTTAAAAACTTTAACCACAGAGTGAATGTATTGTTTCCTGGCAGAAAAACTAAGTCCATTTATAAGTAAAATACAGAAAAAATAAAAAAAAAATTTTGAACAAATTTACCTCTGGATACTATCTTATGATCATAAACAAGCTTCTGTCCAAGTTTGGTACAAATCCAGAATAGTTTGAGAAAGTTATTAAAATTTTAAAAACTTTAACCACAGAGTGAATGTAATGTTTCCTGGCAGAAAAACTAAGTCCATTTACAAGTAAAATACAGAAAAACAGGAATTTTATTTTTACAAAATTTACTTCTGGATACTATCTTATGATCATAAACAAGCTTCTGTCCAAGTTTGGTAGAAATCCAGGATAGTTTAAGAAAGTTATTAAAATTTCAAAAACTTTAACCACAGAGCGAATATTTGTGGACGCCGCCGACGCTGACAGAATGTAGGATCGCTATGTCTCGCTTTTTCGACTAAAGTCGAAGGCTCGACAAAAACCCTAAGAAACATTCAGATATAGTTTGGTAACATTTGACCCAGTAGTTTCAGAGGTGAAGATTGTTTAAAATGTTTACAGTAAAGGAAGAACCGATTGACGGACGACGACAAACGACGCCAAGTGATGGCAAAAGCTCACATGGCCTTTTAGACCAGGTGAACTAAAAGTTACAAAATTTGGAAGAGGTCAAATTGAATTAATTGGACTGACGAAAAATTTTGAGATTACATGCTTATCATGAACTTAAAAAAAATAATCTGACTGCTTGTAAACATACCAGCTTTGTCTTAATGCCTTTTCATTCTCATTATTACCACTCCAAATCACTATGGATGGTCTGTGCTTAAGTCTTCTAACCTTAAGAAAAGATCATAGACCATAAGATACAAATGATGAGATGACACAGGATGATATAGGAATAAAATAAAATTAAAAAATGAAGCTACAGATCAAAGTGGTGTTCTGACTTTATTTTGATTATTTGTTTATGAATCTATGCCTGGTAATTTCCATTTCTCTTTGTATCTTGTTTGTTAACATAATTCACTAAAACCTTTTGTCTTTGTCCATGAAAATTTGCTATAGAAATTACACTGCATATATGTCTTTTTTCCAAGACACACTACCTTTAAAAAAACAATTGATGGTGACAATGTGTTTAAGCATTTTTACTTGCTAGACTGCCTATGGGTATACCCCAAGGCACATTTCAAGATCTTTTTACTCAAACAGAAGGAGTGCTTGAGTTATCTATTTCGATTATAGTTTCAATGCTTGTCAAGTAGATATCTTGCAAATAGCAATAAAATCTTTTAAATTCTGCAACGTTTAAATCTTTTGATAGTTTTCATAAAAATTGATTTATTCAATTTTTCAATTCTTTTCAGACAATATAGGGACTATTTGCCCATGTGCATGACATATCTCGCCTGCTTTACTTATCATGCTTTATTTTTATGTTGATAGTCCTAAAGGTAAAGTTTTACTACAAGGATCGCATAAACTTAACATTATTACTGATCCATGAAAATGAGGCCAAGGTCAGATTAACCAAGTCAGACAGACATGTACACCTTACAATCAATTCATACACCAAATATAGTTGATCTACTGCTTACTATATCTGAGAAGCAGACCTAATCGCGTAACTTTAACCTTAGTCACTGATCCACGAAATGAGGTTGAGGTCAAATGAAACCTATCTGAGGACATGTTAACCTTGCAAGGAACCCGTAAACCAAAAAAAGTTATCCTATTATTCATAATGAGTGAGTAATACACATGACAAAAAAACTAAATTTTTTTTCAAGCTGTCGCTGAATCTATGAAAATTACATCAAGGACAACAGACATATGACAGAAGGAAACTTCGTAATATAAGCTTTAAGGCATCTGTATACAAAGTATGAGGTCTCCAGGTATTCTCACCTCTGAAATATAAACCTTTATGCAAATAGTTTACACTGCTGTCACTGCCGAAAAAAAGTGTGGAAAACTGATTATTTGAGTGAATTTTCTAAGTCCAAGGACCATAACTCTGCACAAAATCATCAGACCGGAACATAATTTGAACTTGATCTGTAACTTGTCATGATAAAAGTATATACCATATTTCAAATCAATATCTTCATGCATGAAGAAAAAAAGTGTAGAAAACTGATTTGCTGGACTGACAGATGGACAGACAGACAGACAGACAGACAGTAAGACAGACAGACAGACAGAAGGAGTGCAAACATATAGTCCCCTTCGACTTCGTCGGTAGGGGACTAAAAACACCAATGTAATAGTATTGATTGATTGGTGTTTGCTTTACACCGCTTCAGCACAGAAATGCTATATCGCTGCAATAATCTAACAGTACTCTCAGTTACTGAAAACTACTTCAACACTCATTATGACTAATAAATAAGATATGTTTTACCATGTATTCTTAAATATAAATCAGTGCACATCCAATGGATTTAGTGTAAAGACTTTATAAACAGCCTGAGAAAAGCATGACCTTCTGCAATGCCAAAATATAAGTATCATGATAAATATTCATAACTGTATAGCAATACATATTAAGTTTAAAATTATTAAAAACAAAATCAATGTTAGTAACTCTTGCCTCTTATATAACATAGCATTAACCAGGGTTCTAGTTTAGACGCGTATACGCGTCCTGGACACATGAAAAACAAGCTGGACGCGTCATTTTTGAAACCTGTGAGTCCGTGGGACGTGTCCTCATTGTATCCCCTGAGTCCCAAACACATCGTTTTGCCTAGAAGATTCATGATTGTCGACATTGTTTAGACAGGAAACTAAACCAGAAGTCGATGTTGAAAAATGAAGTAATGCGTAGATAAATATTTTTGTTGACTGATAACTATTTTTATAATTAAACGTATTTCATCCTTAAATATAATAATTCTGTTCAAACTGATTAATAAATATGTAATAGTTACCGATTTTTAAAAATTTTACGAGTATTTGAAAAGCTTGAATACTTCCACGTGTTGAACATCACGTACTTATCGATTGAAACAAAAGAAAGTAAAAAAATTTGATAACTTGAAATGAAATCATATAGTATTTCCTAACTGTTGCTTCTATTCATAAAATAGATCATAGAACAGTGTAGATTAAATATTTTATGGATAAGAATAATTTTACTGGTCTTCAAATGATTTAACATTGTTCTCGTATTGTGCATGTTGAACATCGAGATTGTAAACAAAGGTGAAAAATGTTATGAAATTGAAACAAATCCGATTAAAAAATGATATAAGGTTACGGTGTTCACTTTAGATTTGCTTGTTTTTATCAAAGATTATAAAAAATTATCATGATGAGAACATCAAGTGATTATTAACTCAATGATTAAATATAATTAAAATTGATTAATAAGAACTGTGACTGACAAGTCTGTGTTCATGCAATCCCAATTTCTTATAAATACTGGCTTGTCCAAAAAATGACATCAGTATCACAATGTCAGAGTCAGTCAAAGTTAAAGTCCTTCAAAAGGGAACCTGATGATATTGAATCATCTGAACCAAGTAAAAGACCCAAGAGTCAATGACCCACTACACCAAGAATTGATAGACATAGAAAGATCTTCAGAAACAACAACTTCATTCACTACCCCAACTAAACCAAACAAAGAGAGGAAATGGCAGTCTATACATGTTGTAATGAACAATAACTTAAGAGATCATAACTTTTATTGATATAATAAAAACTACCTATCCAACACGCGTCATTTTAGTTTTATTTCATCATATTAAGACACAAAAAATTACATGCATCCTGGACTCATCAAAATCTATTGGGACTCACCATGAAAAATTCCTAGTGAGAACCCTGCATTAACTTATTCTCACATCTTTAATACAGTTTAAGTGTCGAATTTTTTGTTAGAATATACTTGTTTTAAGTATCACAGAGTTTATCTTTAGTACGATCAACTTGCAAGGCTTTGCTTCTGATTGACTGTGCTTATGGACATATTCAGTAGTTTATCAAGAGAATAGTAAAGAGGTGTATGTTTTGACATATTTTCATATGAACTTCGCAATGCTTCAGAAGGACTAGTAAGATCGTCTATATTATATTTATACCTGGTGAGTGACTTCTTCAGTCACACTATTGAGAAATGTTGGATCAGTAGGATACATGGAACATCCAAACATAAAGTCTTGCCATATCATTATTCCTAATCTGTCTGCAATGTCATAGAACTCTTCCATTTCATATATCTGCAGAATAAATTAAATAAAATAACTTGTAAAATTCGGTAAAGGCCATATTTGGCCCCGATTATTAAGTTCAATGTTTCAAGATAAAAAATGTTTTAAGTTGATGAAAAGACATGTGAGAAATTTAAATCAAAGTTTAATTTAAAAGTGTTGATTTTTACATCCCAAATAGGTCAAAAATAGAGACTTTTGCATATTTGACAAAATCGTCTGTATTTTAACCAAATTTAAGACCTAGGAAACATAGAGCACAGGTGTCCACTATCTGTAAACATTTTATTCTTGTTAAGTTGTTTTTAATAAAAGTTCAACCTTTTTTAATCTCAAGAATTAATCATGGAAATATACTGTGCACAGATGTTAAGTATATGCACACGCCTTCAAATTGCTCCATGTTGGCTTGTATATTAGGAATTATTTTTTAAGTATCAGACAAATGAGATTTTCAATGTCCATGCAATTATACTTTTATGAATGGTAAAGACACATATTAAAGACAGACAATCAAACACACTATTAGAGAAATTAATGAAGTCAGGAGAAATTTTTACCTTTCTTACTTAAACATGAATAAGTTTTAAAAAAATATATATATCAGAATGACTAAGGGAGATAACCAATAAAAATATTTTCTGAACCAGTAAATAAAAACAATTTGTGTAAGTTAAATGAACAGCACATTTAATGTGATTACAAGAAATAGAGCAAGCACATAAAAATAATAAAAATTATGATCAGATTTTTCACTCACGCCTCCTCCCCAGACCCTCAAAACATTCATGTTGGCATCTTTAGCAGACTGTAGTAAATTCTCTATCCTAGACTTTGAGACTCTATCCAAGAAGCTATCAGCAGGAATCCAGTTTGAACCTTTGAAGAATACTGGCTGACCATTTATCTTGAAGTAAAAGGTTGTACCTAAAAATAATGGAATACAGTTTATTATGAATGAAATTTGGTTATTGAAATTATAAGTTGTATATCAATTTGGAATTACTGTCCTTAATCATGAATTAAAAGTGTGATAAACACTTTCACAGTCAATGAGTTTAATATGCAAAAATCTATCGATGGTGTAGCCATTATAATAAGGTTATCATTTCAACTTCAGGTATACAAGTACTAAATCCTATTTTTTTGGAGGAAAATCAACAAGTGACAATAGACTATTTTCATATTACCGACTTTTGACTTCAGATTATACAATTTTTCGACAGGTTACATATTCTGTGGTAGGACATCCTGGTACTCGGTCAAGAAGAGCTACAAAAAGAAGTAAAATCAAACTAATAATTGGTGCAATTTGGAGGAAAAGTTTACTGTTTTCCGATGATTTTGTCGTGAATAAAAAACTTAAAACAGTAAATTTCCCCCAAATTGTACCGATTGTAAGCTTGATTTTACCTCTTTAAGCTGCTCTTCCTTGACTGAGTACCAGGATGTCCCATCACAGAGTAGGTAACCTGTCGAAAAAAATATAAACTCAGGAGTCAAAAATCGGTAATATGAAAAAAGGTCTAATCAAACAAAAAGTTATGCATCATCCCTTTATCAATTCTTATAGGTAAAGACAATGGTTTTATTCTTATAAACCTTAATTATTAACAATTCTTATATGGCAAATTTTATTTGATGAACTTATTTGTGAATTCAAATTTATTTTGTAATTTAGTTAGTTTATTTTAACCGGTCTTTTCTTGCAAAGAAAGATGTACTTGACTCATTATTGTACAGTTTAAAAGCTTACTTTGACCAAGTTTTGTTCAAATTTCAATACATTATTCAATGTATACTTCTTGGTATCATCTTCACTTTTGGTGCGGTAGTGTACATTAATTATATAATGTTTATCAAAAAAAACCAAGTCATACCACATGAGAATCATAGTAATCTTTTCATTTGTTTCTCTGCAAGTTTCCTAACATTGCAATAGAATGTCTTAAAAAATTTGAATGATTTCTTCAGTTAATTTGTCATTCATATCTTCACTACACTAATTCAATTTATTTTCTGTACAATTCATGGATAACTTTGAAGACAATTGTATATCATAGTAGGTGTTTTGATTTCAGAGAGAGAGAGAGAGAGAGAGAGAGAGAGAGAGAGAGAGAGAGAGAGATCGTTAAATATGCTTATGGTCAATGAAATAAGGGTAAGAGTTCAATTGATCAGAACAACCCCAAAGAAAAAACTACTGAGTTGAAAATTGCAAATTGAGAAGCAGAAAGAAAAAATAAAAGACAGCAAAAAATTATTTTTAGTTACACTACATCAATTAATTTAATAAATTATAAGATATTAAAATGATTCCAAGTTAATGACTGCTGTAAAACAGAGATTTATTCAGTTCAGCAACCATGTCAACTGAGGTACTGTAAATTCATTTATTTTTGGGGATACCAATTTTTGTGGATTGAGAAACAATTGTATTTTCATGTACATTTTATTTTGTGGTTTTGCCAAAGTTTGCTTACAAACCCTCAGAAAATTTATAATCTTTAAATTTGTGGTTTTCCTATACCCACGAAATCCATGAAAATTAGTGTCTCACAAAAAATAATGAATCCCCAATAACAATACTAACAAACAAGATTGAAGGATTCGAATCTTAGCCAATCATGGCTAATATTTAGTATTTCATCAATCATTGCAGATTTATAATTTGTTAACCCTGTAATTACTGTTATCTTACCTTGAGAGTGGTCACTGGACACAAAATCTTCTACCACTTCAACAGTCCTGAAGCCTATATTTATACTTTTACCAACCATTTCTTGACCATTACTACCAGTAAAGAATGTGTATAATTTATACAGTGTCTGGTTCCCATAACCATTTGGCCACCATTCTTTAATATTGACGTTCTGTAATTAAACAAGGGTTACAGACTCGGATGGCTTAAATTGTACAGAATGTTTATTAAACAATGGAATACTTTCTGTGATGTTTCCAGAATCTGGGTGAAAAACTGTATAAGGAGTTAATTACACAATATTGGTACTGTATTCTGTAATTTTGCTTAAATGACTAAAATGCCAAGTCTTGAAAATTCCTCAAAAAATTCCATAATAGCAGGTGTACAACTTCAATATGCCTGTAATCTTTCTGTGAAGTTTCAGGGTACCAACTTATCACTATCATCCTCACACCAATCAGTCTGACATTATCATACCACAAGCAGATATTGCACTTTGTGCAACCCAGCCAAAAATGTATGTAACTGAAACAGTAGACCACTTCTCTTGAGACAATTCCTTTAGTAGAAAAAATGTGGGCGTGTAATAAAACTTGTAAATTTATGAAAGAAAAAACAGCTCTCATATGCGTATAAAAAATTGTCTCAGTAAAGGAAAAACCTGTTTAAAGAAGAACCTTTTAAAATAGGATGACTGTATCTTGTAATATTATAGTAAATTAATACAGTGATGCATCTATAGTATTTGAAATCTACAAGCCTCTATCACTTGTTAAAGTAATGTCAACAACCAGCATGGAAATATTTCCCAGCTTAATGTAACAAGGATGTATAAATTATGTCTTACTGTATCAAAGTAAATACCCAGAAAAGTATCATAAAGAATTTAATAGAAGCCTTTATCTGGTTATTGAAATTGCAAAGTAAGTGAATTTTTTCAATCTTTTCTACACTATAATGGAACAGAAAAGATTCCAGTTTGTGATCTAACTCCTTAATGCCACATGCTTGGTGGAGAAGCAGCAAATACCAATTTTTAAGTCTATGGTTTGACTCAGCCGGGGATCAAACACACAACCTCCAACACTCAAGGCAGGTATACAGCCTCTACATGGGTATTAAGGACGAGCACATGATAATGTAATATGAACTTAAACCCTGCTTTGTACATGACTGATACATAGCTGGATTTTTAAACATGCTAGTTCACAAGGTAACAGTTTGAAGGAAGACATGTTACCCTACCAGGACACATTATTCTGACTCCATGTTGACCAGTCTTTGCTCTTACCTATAAATGTTCCATGCTTAGCAGAGAAGCAGCAAAACCCAATTGTCTTTCATTTTACCCGGCTAGGGATAACACCCACAACCTAATTCAAGGCAAGCACGCTACTATGAGACCACAGAGGCATTCAGAAGATTTTGACAACCAAAGGGAACATCAAGATACATTCTAGATAACTTTGCAGGAAATAATGTATGAATTGGACAAATATTGTTGGTGGACTGAATAATAATTTTGCTTCACAAACTGGCTGAAAGACTTTCAAGAAAAAAGTATTTCTAAAATTTTACTTTTTAAACTGTCTTTTGATCATTAAAAAAATTCTGTCAGTTTCATCAAATTCCATGAAGATTTTGTGTGTTTAAAAAAATTGTATACAAAGACTGTACCTAAATGTTGATGTGGCTGCTGCGAATGTCACAGGCTGGACAAAAATTTATCATTATATTAAATATCATACAATTGTAACAACTGATTAGCCTTGCTTATCAAACAATCGTCTATCCAGGTACAGATCCTTTCAGTATGTATCAGAAATTACTAACCTTAGGAATATTAATTTGCAGAACAGCACTCTTATTTTTTTCACTAAATTTTACTGGAACTGTCAGAGATACTGGAGTTGAGTCTAATCGAGCTTCCAATTTACCATTTACTGTAGCAAGATGAGGTATTTCCACAAAAACTTCTATACTTAATTTCCATGTTCCGTCTGTACCTATAAAATGATCATATAAAAACAAGATAAATATTTTTCACTGATATATATTCTGCATCAAAGTCAAAAGCTAAAGAAGTCTTTATTTGTCACTTATTATCTGAAAATGAACAGATGTGACATACCGGTATGTTATAGTTGAACAGTTAGAACACCATAAATCTATCATAATACATGTAATAACTAGTAGATTCCAAAAAACCTGTTTATATATTACTAAACAACTCATATCTATGCATCCTGGTTTATAAAGACCAAAATGTATGCATGTTATTTTTACTACTATGGGGGTGTATAACTACTTTAAACATAAACAAGTTTCAGTGCCCATAAGTCTGAAATTATTCCACCAATTTTGAAAAAAAAATAATTATATATTTGGTTCAAAATGCAAATGCCAAGTTAAAATAATGAATTTAAGATAGGAAACTGTTGGAGTTACACAGGACACAAACTAGGTACCTTTTATAGAATTCAATGTCAAAAGTTCCCAATCTGGGACTACTGAGGTTTTTTTTTTTAAATCAGTCCCAAGAAAGGGGGTGAATTTCTTCAATCTGTGTGCAACCACTAAGCAAAGTTTGAATAATATTGAAGGAAAGCATGGTTAAAATTGGTGTAAATGCCTAAGTACCTTTTAAAGTTTCAGCTGTTACATCTCTAATAACTGCATTGTTATAACCCTGAATATAAATATCTCTCCTGTAAAAGAAAACAAATGTTTAAGATTAATTCAAGAATTCATGTCAGATGGTAAATTACATTTGAATCCAACATGGACTATTCTTCAGCAAAAATAAAACCTACAACATCAAATTAAGAAATTGATGGCCTTCAACAGGGAAAAAAACAATTATTTTTCCAAAATGAGGTAATTTATGGAAAATTTAGAATATCAAAAAGAACCCTTGAAAATTTTACAATTGTGTTTAAATACTGTATACGTTGTTTTTTTTTGCTAAATGATTCATGTAAATGAGGTCAAGGTCAGATGAACCCAGCCAGACAGACATGGACACCTTACAATCATACACAAAATATAGTTAAACTATGATTATAGCATATGAGCAACAAACCTAATTATGAAAACTTAACATTAACAAATGAACCATGAAAATAAGGTCAAGGTCATATGAACCCTGCCAGACAACAAGTACACCATACAATCATACCACACTAAATATGGTTGACCTATTGCTTAAAGTGTCTAATAAACTAACAAACAATGAACTTTAAACATTGACTAATGAACCATAAAAATGAGGTAAAGGTCAAATGAAACCTGTCAGACAGACATGTACACTTTACAATTATTGCAAACAGCAAATATAGAGGCCCTATTGCTTAAAGTTTCTGAGAAATAGACCAAACCACATAAACTTAACATTGTCCAATGAACCATGAAAAAAAGGTCAAGGTCAGATGAAACCTGTCATACAGACATGTTAATCTTACAATCATGCCATACACCAAATAGAAGCTGATCTATTGCTTATAGTTTCTAAGAAATTGACCAAACCACATAAACTGAACATTGTCCAATGAACCTTATAAAAAAAGGTCAAGGTCATATGAAACCTGCCATAGAGAAATTTACATCTTACAATCATTTCAAACACCAAATATAGTTGACCAATTGCTTATAATATCTGAGATACAGTCTTGACCTTGAACTCTGTCTGATGTATATGAAGAACTTGCAAGGATCTCATATACCAAATATAGGTATCCTATTACTTGAAATAAGTGAGTATTTCACATAAAAAAAAAATTTACATTTTTTCAAGCAGTTGCTGAACCATGAAAATGAGGTTAAGGACAATGGACGTATGACAGACAGAAACTTTGAAGCATTAGGCATCTGAATACAAGGTATGAAGCATCGAGGTCTACTACCTTATGAAATTTATACAAATAGTTTATGTTGCCACCACCTTGCGATAGATATTCCTTTGTCTTGCATTCTGTGACTAGTCGCAGCCGAGTCAAAAACTAGTTTAACCCTGTCATAAACAAATGTGCAAATTTCTAGTTAGGAAACTTGTCATTCATTGTCTTTAATTAGCCACTGTAATATTTATTGGTAACTTGTCTTGACGTGAAGTAATTTAGTGATTGACATATTGTATAGACATCAGTCTGTTGTTGAAGACCATATGGCGATCTCTTGATGTCTTTTGCCTTTTTGTGTTATTGAGTTACTGGTTCATTGAGGTCTACCACACATCTCCTTTTATTCATTTGTTTTAATAAAAATGCAACAAATTGGCCACTGAGCAAAAGAGAATCACTATAAGCTAATACCATGCTCACCATATACCCATGGCAGGAAATGATGGTCCCCAGTCCCAGCTGAATGAACACTGACATTTACGTATAAACTGCACATGATTTTCACCATGGTATTCTGGAACCAGGGCCACTGGTGGTACTGCATAATGATATGACTTGGATTCACTTTCTGCAAACTTCACAGGTGATGAAAACACTATTGTTAAGTTATTTGTCCCAACCTAAAATGATTAAGAATATATCTGTATCAATATGCTTCTTTCATGATTTTTTTTTTAATACTATTACCCTTCTTCCTAGCAAAGCAGAGGATTTGTAGTGATAATTTTTTCTGTTCATTCATTCATCTGTTTGCACTTTATATCAGCAACTCCTCCCAAAGAAGTGACTAGATTTCAATAAAAGTTTCAAAAAATCTTCAACACCTCCATGACATTGTGAATTTATATATACTTTACCATATCAACAAAAGGGGATAGACATTTTTTATCCATTACTCCTCTTGAATCAGTGACTGGATTTCAATAAATTCTAATAGAATCTTCTAACATTATACAATATCTACTTTAGTTGCGATACAAAAGATTTTTTGGGGTTTCTCAAAGTAAACATAAAATGTAAACAAATGAAGGAGTGAGGCGTTTGATGTAAACAAATGAAGGAGTGAGGCGTTTGATGTAAACAAATGAAGGAGTGAGGTGTTTGATTTGTGAGATTTATTAAGTTTTCTATTTTCTCAATAGAATATAATATAAAAGAAGTAAAAATCTATTTTGCATGTTCATTGCTATAATTGTTACCACTGAGGAACAGGATAAAGTAAATGTAAAAAAAGTACTTAAGTTATTGATTATAGGTGGTTTTTCAAACAAGAGGGTGTTTTTCAGCTACTATGTCAACGAAGGGTGAAGGGATCTAGCCGAGAAACATCCTTAAGTTTGAAAGACCACTGATAATCTGTTTATCGCTATTTTCCTAGGCAACGTCAATGACGTAGGCTTATACATTCTCTTTCTACTCGACTGAAAAAATAACCATATAACTCAAATAGAGTAATATGGAAAATTACCATACAGAAAAATCATGGACAAATTTGAGAAAATGGCGATAATTACATTTATCATATCCTTAAATATCTAATAAAAGGTGCACATCTCAACTTCCAAGTATGTAAAAATTCAGTGTAATATACTAGTATTCCTGACACTTAAAATAAGAATACAGAGGGCCGTAAATAATATGAACCTCCAGTCATAAATCTTCTAACCATGGATGGGCCTCAAGCTGAAAATTGTTTATCTTTAGCTGAAATTTCTAAAAAAAATTACTATATTTCAACTGGAAATGTATCAATTTTAAAAACCTCAAACTGATAATTTACCTAATAGACTAAAAACAGTTGTAGGACTAAAAGTCTGTCACATAATCATTAAAAATACTTCATCAAATCATTAACTTAATACATCATTAGATCTCACCATAACAGATAATAAGCTTGACGTAGTATCATATGAAAGTAATTTTGTGGAATATAATATATGATTATGTTAAATGAATTTATAAACATAATTCAATCATACCCTAGCAATTCTCTTTATATCAAACACATATCTAACAAACATGTTATCTGATGTTCCAACTATGAATCCATTGATAAAAACACGGGATACTGTATCCAGTCCTTCACAAACCAGTACAAGTGACTGTGATGAAAACATGGCAGACGTCACTGAAATGAAAAAAAAAAGCTTTTAGTACAAGTAGTGGTGTACTGACTTTTAATTTTATCCTTTTTCTAACTGAATTTTGATTACCTGGTATATTGTATGATTATTCATTTTCTATAAAGTGCTTTTACCAAAAATTAAAAAATCTCTAAATCTTGTGCACAGAAAGGCTTTTACTTAAGGGTAAATCTAATACATATAGCAAAATATCATAATGTATGTGACACAGCAAAAAACCTACATTTTTACCTGCGTTGCCAATAGCCAAATCAGGTCTAATAACTGCTGAACTCTGTCTGTTCGTCTGTCCATTCAAAAAAAGACCCTGCGTAGAAAACTTTCTTTTTTTGCTTCTATGAAATAAAATGATTTTTTATTTGGTCTGCAGCTTGATAATGTTGAATTGTAGTGTGTTAGTAATGCACCATCTGTCGTGCAGCCACTTCCTGTTTGCTGATAGCTTGAAATACTCATTTAACAATGAAAATTTTCTACAAAGTTTTCTTGACGTCAGTAATAGGGAATGATTAGTTATGCTTCAGTTTACATGTTAACTCAATCAATAGCAAGCAGCAGATCCAGACCCAGCTTTTGGTCTTGATTAATTTAAACATTTTGTTAAATAAATTCGTTCTTCAAATAAAGACATAAACTGGATTTTAAAGTTATCATTTACCTAGCGATTACATGAAAGAAATTTAAGTTATAAGAAGAGGCAGTTGGGTGGTACTGTACATAATTTTCATATCTTTTTCATTTGTTATTATTTATTTTATTTCATAAAATATTGATTTCTATATTATATAGCATAGAAACATCAATTTTGAACAGGTTACAATTTGGTGGTTTCATGATTTTTATGTTTTACAATTTCAAAGTAATGTTCTTTAAAGATTAATTTTACCTTGCAGTTATTTTTCTTGGGTAATATCTATCAAGGAATTAAACAACATTAAAACCTCAATAAAATTTCTGCATTTACAGTATGAATAATTTTCACTGAAAATTTGTGTAATGCTTGTGGAAAATATTAATATTGTTTGACAAATTATTCATTAATTAGCTGCAAAATTAGGTACCAGTATGTGCATGACATCTTTAGATAAATTATTTCAAAACAAATATTTTTTTTTGTATTGATTCACTGAAGGACAAAGTTAAACTTATCTGTCTGCGATCAAACAATATAAAAAATAAGGAGATGTGGTTTGATGAGACAACTATCGATCAGATTTCCAAATGAAGTGGATATAATACATTTGATCTGAGAGTTTATCCATGAAACTCTTACCTTCAAGAGAGTAAATAAATGTAGAGTATTTTAAATTAATAAATGATGTGACTAACAGTATACATTTTAGTTTGGTAGTATTGCCGAGATGATGCCAGAACGCAGAGATATACACCTTATCCCCTATTTAGTCCAATCCACGAAAAACAGTTTCGTAGAAAACTTCATGTTGAGGTCAAGTGTTGCAAAAACAAAGATCATCAGCAAAATTTTGTAAAATTTTTAGTTTATGAAGCAATTTTTAAAAAACAAATTTAAATTCTTTAAAAATGCTTTGTTTGATGTGTTTACAATGGTTTAAATAAGTCTCTACAACAAATGGAAGTTTTTAACAACCTTGAATGGCTATACAGCCCTTGCACGGTCAGTCTCTATGAAAAGTTTTATGCACTTATATACATTGTTTGAACAGGGCCCCAGATAGCTTCAACTGGTTTGAAAAAGTTGTGTAATTTTAGAACTTATCTGGATTGGAATAAATAGCAATAAGGTGTATTGAAGAAAGGTGTTGTAACTATATTGCCAAAACAACAAAATTCTGGGAATATTGACACACATCTTATTGCAAATTAATTGTGATACATGTAGGTCTCCAGTGAAGAATTTTACTGTAATATTGAAACAATATAGCCATGGTACCACAAGGCCCATATTTCATTAAGGGTTGTCTGCCGCTGAACTTTAAATTATGGGATCATGGTATAGCTCATAAAACAGTTAATCCTACCACATGTATATTATAGGAATCAATCTCAGTTGCTGTCTTTGTCAGTCAGTATTCTACTTTGTCAAAATCATCTTCCCATTAGGACACCTAATTTTTTCAATCGTGAAATGGAGGCCATGGAAGAGAGGACATGCTGTCAATTTAGTTCTTGAAAAGCAGTAAATTCATCTTCATGGCATCATTACAATCCTTACATAACAGTTGTTTTTAAAAAAAATGCATTTTCTACCTATAAAGCATGATTTAATGTACGTTTAGACCTTTTGTCAACTTAAAACTATTGTATGATTGGTTGTCAAGGGGAATTTTACGAAGGCTAAAAAACGCTAAAAAATTGTATTCAAATATTTTGATAGAGGTTGAAGACTAATTAACCTAGAAAATACACACAAAAAAAGATTTTTTTTGGAAGTTATGCATAAATAGATCCACAAGTAAGTATGTCATCAAGGGTTTTTAGTAAAAATATTAAGAGGGTGTTAGTGTGTGGTGGGTCAGACTTCTCTTTTTTCAGTACATGTCATGAATAAATTTATTAATATGCCTAAATTTCAATTAAAAATTAGTGAACGAAAATTTAAAAAAAATACAAGTAAGAAATATACATCAAGTTTGAATATTTGTAGTAGCATTTTTGCTATTCAAACACACATACTCTGTTGTTATGACTCATTAGAAAGGTATTTTACCTGACCCACATATTGCATTTTTAGGTACTGTAAAATTTTTTAGGGTTATCATATCAACATGATACATAAACGTATAAAAATAATGGAATCTAGAGCAAGATGATGTAACAAATATTTTTCCTTTAATATTTTCAAGACAAAACAGTCAACTCAAACATGTCTGAAAGTAAAAAGGTGTACTCAACTTTCTCTTTTTTTAGGATTAAAAAAAAAACTGTTGCCCAGGTGCAGAGATGCAAATTAATGCTTTAAAAAGATCAATCTTTACATCTTTCTGTGGATTTTTTTTTCAGTGAAATTGGTACTTATGCATATTAAAGATCCAAATGCATTTGCTCCTACCAATTTAATTCAAAAGTTAACAAATATCTCAAAGCTCCATACTATAATTTGAGAATAAACACAGTGTTCTTCCCAGGCTGTTTTAGCGCTGCGGTATTCAACGCTTTTGTATTTCAGCGCTGTGCTATTGGGCAGACCGCAGCGGTATCCAATCAAATTTCAGCGCTATTGTTTTTCTATTTTCTAATTTCTGGTGTTTATCTGTACAATTACAATCATGTTATTGACTGGTTTATTTGACTGAGATCGTTTTTTCACCAAACAAAGTCAAATCTCGGAGGGGCTTGTTCAATGAAAGAACAAAATGGCGTCATTGGCAGAACGTTTACTGTCAAAAAGACTTATTTCTTTCTTGAGTTTTTCGCTTTTATAAGAATAAAAAGATGCAGAAACTTCATGAAAGGTGTGGATAGTGCTCAATAAATCAATCCCAAAATATTTAAAGAAGTTTTACCCTTTCTATGACAACGTGGTCTTGTCCATTTTTTTTAACCATTTACGTTTATTTCATCACCCTTTCGTGCTTATAATTAAAAAGTTGAACCTGAATTGGTTTAAGGAAAGCATTCTCGTTGTCCAGGGATTCATCACAAGCCGGTATTTTACAATTACTTGTCCTTGCATTGGGATTTTCAAAATCAAATAGTGGATAAAACAAAACGAAAAATATAAAATATTGAGATTTGCCATCCAGTTTTCAATGAATATTAATTTTATATTATTTTAGAATCAATATGAACAGAGGATTGCTTGGATAAGAAATGGCATTAATGATTCAATAGAAACAGCCATTTAAACTGTGTCTAAACTACCCCGGCAAAAAATGTTTGAACTTGATGGTATCAAATATGAGGGGCCTGATGGGTTATTTTCGTTCTTCGTGACCGGCGCATTTTCACTATCGTGATCCGTTTTTCTACATATTTTTTTTTTTTTTTATATTTTCGTGATCCGTGATCATGGAAATTTATTTTCTGTGAATTGTGATTGACAAAAAAAAATCAACTCGTGAATCGTGATGAGACCCCCCCATCAGGCCCCTCTAATATCCGGCACGGTGACGGAACATCAATAGATAGAGAAAAGGTAGTTTTCTGTTTATTTATTTGTTATTGTTATGATATCGAAGAATATTTATACATATATAACTATTTTCTATTGTGAGATGTAATATTTTCTACAACCGTTCTAGATTAGCGGAGAAATAAGTAAAAATGCACGTCAAAATGACGTATTGAGTGAACCTTAAAATTGAGAATGGAAATGGGGAATGTGTCAAAGAGACAACAACCCGACCATAGAGCAGACAACAGCCGAAGGCCACCAATGGGTCTTCAATGCAGCGAGAAACTCCCGCACCCGGAGGCGTCCTTCAGCTGGACCCTAAACAAATATGTATACTAGTTCAGTGATAATGGACGTCATACTAAACTCCAAATTATACACAAGAAACTAAAATTGAAAATGATACAAGACTAACAAAGGCCAGAGGCTCCTGACTTGGGACAGGCGCAAAAATGTGGCGGGGTTAAACATGTTTTTTGAGATCTCAACCCTCCCCCTATACCTCTAGCCAATGTAGAAAAAACAAACGTACAACAGTACGCACAGTAAAACTCAGTTCAAGAGAAGTCCGAGTCCGATGTCAGAATAGGAAACAAAAGAAAATAAACAAAATAACAATAATACATAAATAACAACAGACTACTAGCAGTTACTGACATGCCAGCTCCAGACCTCAATTAAACTGATTGAAAGATTATGTCTTCATCATATGAATATCAGGCACAATCCCTCCTGTTAGGGGTTTAGTATTATACCATCATAAAATATATGAGAAGAACATAACCCGTGTCATGCCAACATCTGGTTTTAGAATAAATATGTTTAATTCCGATGCAAAGACCCTATAAGTGAATCAATATTAAAGCCAAAATATGCAATCTTTAATGA